CTGGATGAATTAACTTAATACCTTACCTGGAGAAGTCCTTGAGTGGTTCTGCCCTTCTTGAGCACTCCCATCCCTTCTTTTGATAACTAAATTAATACAGGCCACAGGGGGGTGGGGGAGAAAAGATAACTGGCTCGTGAACAGAGACATATAGTCCTTGGACTGGAAATTTTTAGCCCGAAGGAGTAAGTCTACTGTTGTAGTTGATACATTGTGTCAATTTGAGGAGTCTAGGGGCTTGGCTAAGTGACTCAGCGGTTCTATATCCTGAGCCTGTGCAAGAGGAGAGCACCGAGATGGTGTGGGTCTTGATGGATAGCTGGCATACAATATAAGGAGGGAAAAGGGGGCTTGTTCCCTGCCCTTTTTGCTCTTGCTGCTTTTGTTGTCTTCTGCCACCAGGAACTGTTGCCCTCTCCCATGTGCCACCTTGCCTTACAGCCAGTTGAGTGTGGACTGAAACCTCCACAAACTGTGAGAAAAATAAACATTTCCTTCCTTAGTTTTGGGTATGGGGTATTTTGTCCAGGCAACAAGAGAAAAGTAACCAAGACATCTACCTAGAGTGGAAAGTGTGGGAGACAGAGCAGGCTTTCTCAGGATGAAAACTGGTCCAGGGATACCTGTAGCAAGGAGGGAATAGGAACATTCCACAAGGAATATGGGTAAGTCTTCCTGCTGTGAACAAACCATTTTTACTCAGGAGTAACATGGCCAAAAATTTTCAACCAAAGGGTAAAGATACATAAAGCTGCAATGTTTGCTTAAACAGTCAGGGGCTCATGTGCCAAGTAAAGACCTAACAAAAATGTTATAAAAGGTAATCACATATAATTCATGGTTTCCTCAGATAGGTCCTGTAGATATTGACAATTGGAAAAGAGCTGGAAAAAGTCTTTAAGAGGCACATAGTACAGGAAAACTCATTTCTCCTGAGACATTTTCACTGGAAATCTAGTTCACTCAGTTGTAAGTCTGCTGCAGAGCTTACAGTCAAAAGCCTCTGACTCGGATATAGAGGAAACAAAAGATCACCCAGCAGAGAAACTTAGGCAGGAGCAGGAGCCTTTCAAAAGAACATCCCATATGGCTCTATGTAGAAACTTACAGACTTTAGAGGAACAAACAACAGCAAAAGGAGAAATCATTGGCACCCCTGCTCACTTCACAGTTGGAATTCAGCAAAATGATCACAGTGAAATTGTTTCTCATTTGTCTTTTGAAATTCAGATGCTGAAAACTCTCAAAGTGTTGTTCAAATTCTTCTTATAAGAGATCTCTACTAATTGACCTATTTTTAAAAAAGTTCTGAGTAGTCTTGTTATAATTACAAACTTAAAAAATTATTGTAATTTGGCCAAAATAGATTTGAGTGCACTCTGACTTTATAAGCAAATTATCTTGTGTGTGTGTCTTTGTTTCTCTGTCTAATCTGTAAACAGCTGTTTTATCTGAGCTCAAGAAATTTTTCTTCTTTCTGTATTTTTGAATTTTTGAAGCATTTGTCTATAATTTAATTTGGCTTATAGATAAATGTCATCTAAAATTAAGAATATGTTTCCACCAAGATTGCCAGTTGGTCAAAATGATGTCAAAATTGACTTTATAAATGTGATGCTTATTGTCATTTATGTATTATGACTTGAGAATCTCTCATTGTTCAAATTTAATGTGTCAAGTATTGAGATTCCATTTTCATGTGTTATCAAAATTTTATTAAGATAATTAAACAAAAATAGGGTGAGGAGAAACAATTGGGCAGGACTCCAATTGATAAATAAAGAAGCAGCTGCCTGCAGAGTCCAGCCACAGGCAGGAGACAGGAGCAGCTGCTGCCTACCATTGATCATGAAGGACAGGGAACAGGCTCAGGGAAATTCAGGGAGGTTTGCACATCACATCCCTGCTTCTCAGCTCAGCATTTCTGTCTCACTGTCTTTGGAAATTTTGGTCTGGCTGGGTCAGGTACCATAGGTCAAGGCTCAGTAGCACCTTCAGAGTGGAGCATGGACAATAGTGTGGGACTGTGAGCTCTGGGCCCTGGGGCTCTCTCTCCCCCTGAAACTCTCCTCCACACAATGGCAGGGCAGGTGACACGCCGGGCAACAGGGACACCTAAGTGCAGCGTGGGCCACACCGGGCACACTGGCTGCGGGCAAGGTGATGTTTTCTCAGTTGGGGCAGAGTTCACAGCAGGGCTTGTCTGTTGCTCCTGTGTTACGGTCACTCTGAAGCAAAAGAGCAGGAGCTGCTTGAAGAGCTGCTTGACAACTTCATAGCAAACAGCAGGCTCCCTTCACACTCCTGGCATTTCTCCAGAGCATGGAGGCTTCTCCACAGAGACACACTGAAAGTGCACCTCAAGGATTAAGGTGCACTTGCGGAGTTGGGGGTTTGTCCTTTCGGGGCTCATACTGATTCCATATTACAGGGTTTTCAAGTGCTGGAGTCTCCTTCTGGATGGTCTCTAGGTTCTATCTCTCCTGAGCAAAGAATGGGACAAGACAGGCACAAATGGCAGCAAGGTTTTATTAAAGGTAACAAAAAGAAACAGGCTCTGCATAGTGACTCTGGGCCAAGTAAAAGTAGGAAAAGGAGTATGCACTACATGCTACGGGCTGGCCATCCAGGCAAGAGAGAACACGAGAAAAGCTCAATGGTAAATGTACTTTTGTACCACCCACTCCTCAAGCTAAGGTCAGGTCTAGGGCAACCTATCAAAATCTTGCTTGAGTTCTAACAAGAAGTCCATGAGTAGGGCATTGGGAACTGTCCTGTGCATGTGTCCTGGGATTTTATAAGTGAGAGGTCACACCTACTTCCCCAGTCAGGTTCACTAGGCCCTAATCGCCTGTCTCATTTCCCCCTCA